AAAATTGAGATATAAATTCCAAACCATATCCCTGATTATTTTCAACAACACCCAATCCAAACAAATAATGATTTTTGAAAACTCAAATTTGAATTCAAAGCTTTCAAGCTTTTTAATGGCTATCAATGGTGGAAAATATCTGGAAGAACAGATGAAGATGAAGATGAAGAACAGAAATCTCCTTTCCGTTTCAAAACTTGAATTTAATGTAGACTCAATCAATCGCAAGATTTTTTCCTGATTTTTAGCGCGTTAACTATGGAAGATTCTGCCCAATTAATTGTGTATTAAACAAATGATATAGAAATTGTAGGAAAACTGTGGACTGGGCGGGTAATTTACATAGTATGCACATATTTGGTAATAAGGTTTCATATATGGTATAGTTAGGAACAAATCCCTAACAAAATCCTTTGATTGAAGGCTCAAATAATGAATTGGGGGGTCTTTTAAGGTGGATTGTAAATATTTTGTAACTAAAATGTGTTTAGGTCGGGTAAATACCAAAATATGGATTTTTCGTAATAAGGTTTCAAATAGTGTATAGGAATGAAAAAATCCCAAAAAAGAATACTACTATTCTTTTACATTTTACAAAGAGATTTCTCTTAGTGGGCTAATAAAAGGGTTGGGTTTGTGCACACAATATATAATTGGTCCAAAATGCAAAAGTTGCCGATTTTCTCCCTATGCATTTTTTTTTTGCAGAAATATGACCTTTTTAGGGGTGGTCTTTAACTTTTGACTTTTGTTTGCCTCATAGGTAGAACTTCAAGGTCAAAAGTTAAAAATATTGTCCATGGGCCAAGTAAGAGGCAACACTTCTTAAACTCGAAGTTCTGTCTATAGGGCAAGTGAGGACAAAATTCAAGATCATCCACTTTGAGAGCTATTTGTGTTCTTTACCCCTGCACATGAGATATTGGCTGGTCGGGAGATTTACAGATAAAGGGATACTTTCTCGCAGTTATTTAAATTTTATCCCCAATTTAGATATTAATTTGTGCGAAACTGACATATTAAAATTAATAAAATAGTTTTGGACAAAAATACCCTCTAACCTAAAATTTCCAAATTCAAAAGACGATTACTGTGAGTTATGATGATCTTATTTTATTATTCCAACAATATGTTGAGCTTACAAATAAAGCCACATATTTTTTTTGGTAATTAATTTTTTTTATTAATCACCAAAAGTGAAGGCATTACAAAGCATAGCTTAGCTACTCCCAGCTAGCTAATTCTCATGAGATTTACAGGGAAAAGACTATATTATTTTAGCATACTAGACCATATTGCTTATCAGTGAACTATACTAAAAATACAACCTTTGCACTAGTTCCTTTACATTTCCAATAGTTCTAAAATTACATATGCAAACTATCTCCCTTGCCAAGCTTGTGTGATCTCTGAATGTTTCTTGAAATATTCTCTGATTCCTTTCTTTCCATAGAGCATGTGTATATTCAGCATACATCATCTTGAGAAGTTTTGCTATTGTTAATTTTCCTTTTGTGTGCTGACAAATGATCTGTAGTTGTTGCTCCCAAGTTGAACTACTAATGTTATGTACCTTTGCCCATTGACTCAGTCTACGCCACAACCTTTTAGCATAGTCACATTCAATAAATAGATAATTCCTTGTCTCCAAGTTAGTTTGACATAACACACATGAGTCATTTACACTGAGTCCCAATTTCTTAAGTCTGTCCACAGTAAGTAACCTCCCTTGGCATTGAAGCCACATTGTGATTATAGCCTTAGGTTTGGCAGCATTGCTACACATTAGACTTCTCCAGGTAGTTTTAGGTAACATTGGACTCAATTGAAAATATATCTGCTTAATGATGCTTTTCTTATCCTCTAATGGCATGTACAACTGATTTATGATCTCCCTTGCTTCCAATATCTTCCTCACCATCCATCTTGCACTCATAGGGATAAGCATAGAATTTATACACTGCTCCTTGATGTACACAGTATGAATCCACTTAATCTATAATTTGTCTTGCTTGTGAGACAAATCCCAGAAATTTTTGGCAATGGCAGCAGTATTCCAGATGTGAAGGTTGCTTAAGTTGAGTCCACCAACTGTCTTAGGTAGACACACTTTATCCCAGGCAATGAGGGCCTTTTTGTGACCACATGTAACTTCTACAATAAACTTCTATTAATTTAATCACTTTGACTGGTAATGAAAATATTTGAGCCCAATATAATTGGATTCCAAACAGCACAGTCTGTAGTAATTGGGCCCTTTCAGCATACGACAACTTTTTTGCAGTCCATGAAGTAATCTTTGCTACTATTTTAGTGATGAGAGGTTGCCATTGTAACATATTCAGCTTCTTTGTGTCCAATGGTACTCCTAGATATTTGAAAGGTAGTTGACCTTGAGTATATCCCATATTCTGGCAGATTGTTTCTATAGTCCCTCTTTCCATTCCTCCACAGTATATGACACTCTTATTTAAATTTGATTGCAATCCAGAATCTCTTGAAAAGGTCGTGAAGCATTCCTGTAGCCTTTGAGTTGAGTATGTATCCCCTCTAGCAAACAACAACAAGTCATCAACATAACTTAGATGAGCTATATGTAGTTTGCTGCATCTGAGATGATATTTGAACCTCTTATCCTAGTGTAATTCATTGAGAAGTCTGCTCAAGTATTCCATAGCAATGGAAAACAAGAAAGGAGAGATTGGATCTCCTTGCCTTAGGCCTTTAGCAGCATTAAATGGCTCTAGAGATTCCTCATTCAGTAGAATGGTGTAGTTAATTATTTTCACACAAGCCATTAACCATTTGATAAACTTCTCTGGAAAAATCAATCCTTCTAGAACCTGTTCCAAGTAAAACCATTCTACAGAATCGTAGGCCTTTTGCAAGTCAACTTTGATCATACATCTAGGAGAGATGTGTTTTCTGTCATATGACTTAACCAATTCATGTGCAAGTATAATGTTGTCCACAATCCTTCTCCCTGGAATGAAACCTGCCTGAGCTTCTAAGATGATGCAATTCATAACCTTTTGTAGTCTCCCAGCAAGAACTTTTGCAATCAACTTGTACATCATTGTGCAACAAGCAATATGTCGATAATCATTCACAGTATTAGAATTTGCTATCTTTGGAAGCAGGGTTAGTGTGGTGCAATTAATAGCTTTAAACATGATTCCAGTGTTAAATAACTCTCTAACATCATCACATACCTCAGTTTTGATGATTGGCCAAGCTTGCTTAAAGAAGATAGCATTGAATCTATCAATCCTAGGAGCCTTGTGATCACCAATTGAACCAAATGCTTCACAAATTTCAGCATCTATAACTTTGACACATAACTCAATTTGTTGGCAGTGGGACAGTCGAGGTCCATTTCTCATCACCATCATATTAACTCTAGGAAGAGAGACTACGACTGATCCCATCAAGGATTTATAAAATACTGTAAACTCCTCTTTGATAGCTTTAGGATCTTTCAGCTTCATGCCTGACAGGGAAGTGATCTCCAAAATCTATTTTTGGTGCTGCTTTTCCTTCATTACTGCTGTAAAATACCTTGTGTTTGAATCACCTAGTTTGATCCATGTAGCTCTGGATTTTTGCTGCACCACACTTTCTTCAATCGTGGACCATTTCTCCAATTGTTGTAAACACTGCTTCTCTTGCTCAGCTAGGGAGTCAGAGTACCGATGTTGCATTTCTTTTTGAAGCTCCTTCAATGCAATTCTAGTCTTTGTGATTTTCTCAGTGATCCCTTTAAACTCTTCATTGTTAAGTTGCTTGAAATCTGGTTTCAGTTGTTTCAGATTGAGCCATACATTTCTCATTTTCCCTCCTGTCTCCCTTCTTTTTCAACCATCATCAACTATCTGTTTGAAACTTCTATGTTCAGACCAAACATTGAAGAATATGAAGGGTATTTTCATGTTATTCTTAGAGGATCTGAATGGTATCATTATGGGTACATGATCAGAAATAAAAAGTTCTCCAAAATCTGTTGTCAGATGTCCATATTGCATCATCCATTCATCATTTGCTATCGCTCTGTCAATTCTACTACAAACACTGTCTGCTCCTTGTTTCTTGTTATCCAAGTATAGTATTTATCTCTCCAAGGAATTTCATTTAAAAGAAGACTATTACAACAATTTGAGAAGTCCTGTAATTCTTCCATAGTTATTGGTGAACCTTGCCTATCATGTGGGTATAGGACTGCATTGAAATCACCACATAATAACCAAGGTTCATTACTTCTAGGAGCTATACTCTGCAACCCATCCCATAGAGCTTTCCTCTGTTCAACTGTATTATATCCATAGATGACTGTAAGTAAGCACTTGATTCCATTATGTAAACCAGTGACCTAGCAATGTATGAATTGAGCAGCTTCTTGAACTAGTTGGATGTCATACCATTTAGGACCCCAAGTGATCCATATTCTGCCATTTCTTGCTTCCTTGTAGTTTGATAATCTTTCCCATTAGGAGTAACTCTACCAGCAACATGCAATGCCTTATTTTGTTTAACTCTAGTTTCTATGATAGCAGCTAACTTTATATAATTGTTTTTAAGGTGCTGCTTTAATTCCTTCTGCTTGTACCTCTTATTTATTCCCCTAATATTTCAAAAGAGCCAAGTCATTATGATAGCCTTGTGTTACCCCCTAAATCAGGAGGTTTAGCTTTCACAATTCTCTGTTCCTCATCAGGCAAAGCTTGAATTCCATTTTCTGTTGCAATATCCCCAGGAGCTAGGTAATTTTGTGTTGTTGTTGCTTTTACACCTAAGTTTGATCCTTTTGCTCTAACCTGTGTCCAACCTCCTTCAGTATTCATATCTGCTGATTGCACAACTCACTCCCCTTTAGCTTGGTTATCTGTATATTCATTTTGTTCCATTTATACTGGTTCCTTTTTTTGTTGCTCTTTGTTCTTAGGTACCCATGTTGTAACTAGTCTAGATCTTTTGTTCTTTTGGTTTTGCACTGGTTTCCCTATTTATTTTTGCTTCATACAGTCATGTCCAATCTTCAAATATTCTGAGAAAAATTCTGGTTTCCATTCAAACTCAATGGGCTGTTGAAACTGTCTACCAAGCGGATAATTAACAGTTATTTCAGTAGGAAGCTTCTTTGTTACATTTACCTCTATCAGTATTCTAGTATAAGACACTCTAGTTTGCTTGGTGATGCATTGATCAGCAAACAGAGGATTACCTAGAGTACTAGCTATCCTGCTCAAAGAATTTATTCCCCAACAATTCATCGGAAGTTTAGGGAATTTTACCCATAGTGGAATCTCTATTAAGAATTCTGTATTGAAATCAAATTCCAGCGACCATTGCTTAAGAATAACAAGCTTGCTATTAATGGTATAAGACCCCCCATACAGGATTTCTCGTAAATCACTTAGACTGAGGAATTTGACTATGTAATAACCATCTTCATGCAAAAATAGATCCGGTTCAGCTACATTATTCCAGTGTTGGGAAATATAGCGATGCATCTGGTTGTAGCCTGGCGTTTCCCCAATTACATAAACAATCAGAGCTTTCTTCCATTTTCCTATCTCATTTTCTACCTCCAATTTGTCTAAATTCACCACATATTGACCATCTACTACTTCTGGAGCAATATAGGATAAGGCCATACCATTTTCTGCAGATCTATTTCCAGCAAAGAGTTTCACCCAAGGCGTTCCAGTCAAACTTACTTTCTCCTCTGCAATTGGCTCAATTCGAATCTGATTAATCTCAATTGGGCCTGATCATGTTCTGGTCTCTTTATTAATCATCTTCTCCACATTGTTAATTGAATTTCCTTGATTAATTGAGGGACTTGGACTTAGAACCAACTTTTTCGACGCACCTGTGTGAGCACTAGCATTCCTCACTTCTAGAGATCTAGTGGTGAATGGTGGCCCAGTTGGGGTTGCCATTTATTGTGTATATCACATTCAATGGTATCAGCGATGACAGTTGCACTGACGGAACTTCCAACCTTAACGAGCGGTGGATTTTTGAACGGTCGACCTCTCTTCTTAGCCATGGCTACCAAGGTCGGTGCAGGTTAGCATAACCTACGCCGAGAGCAAAGCTAGAGAGGATGAATTTCACTTTCATATATTTTTATTTCAAACTTGTATTAGATGGTTTTTGATTCTCTCTACGTAGAGCATAAAATTTGTGTTGCTCAAGCAATGACCCAAGAAAAAATAATTTATTGAAATGGCACCATCAACATACTAACATTAATAAAATAGTGCATGATAAATTCATTATACATTAAAATATTTACCTATGCAAGTTTTATTTTTAGATTGCTTAAGTGGACTTGATAAATTTGAGTAAGCATATTAAGAAATTTTCATATTTGAGTTGAGTTTTAGATTTATTTTGTTAAGGCAAGTCAAGAATTTGACTTTGCTTTTTATATAGAAAATTTGAAAGATCTTGGTATGTAGTTGGGGTGTTCCGTCAAATTATATCCATATTTGCTGATACCAATTTGGTAAATTTCAAAAGTATATTAGAGTATTTACCTATTTGTACTAAAATTTTTGGATTTCATTGATGTGACATCAAATTGGTTGCATTTTCTACTATAATTTTCATAATAATAAAAAAATTAACAAAATTGCATATTTGGGTAGAGATTCAATTACCATAATGATAAAATCCTTGATGTATATAACGCGATATTGTGCTTCTTCTAAGTGCATTCTCATAAAGGCTTTCATTAGTAGTTTTTTTTTTGGTCAATTCTTCTAATAAATTTAGTCATGGTGAGTAAGAAGACTAAAGGGCGTCAAAAGATTCAAATGAAAAAAATAGTAAAAAGAGATGACCTCTTTGCCACATTCTCAAAGCGTCGTGCAGGCTTATACAAAAAGTCCAGCGAGCTTATTGCAGAATGCGGTGTTGACGTTGGAATAGTGGCGTCTTCTCCTACCGGTAAGCCTTTCTCATTTTTTCACCCTACAGATGATGCCGTTATTGCTCGTTTTCAGAATCCTGATATGCAGTTAAGTCAAACTACTGGCCTAGTTGCGGCTCATGCTCAAAACAAAGTGAACTCTCTCAATAGTAGGCTTGAAGAATTGGATACCAGAGAAGACGCTGCAATTGCTCAAGCACGTTTCTATGACAAAATGATAAAAACTAGACAGAGTGGTTGGTGGGAGTCAATTGAGCAACTCAATGCAGATGAAGTGACAAAATTTGAAGCATGGTTAAAGTCTGTTATTTTTAATATGAACAATCGTTTGAATCAATTGGAAATTGGAGCTTCATCCTCAACACCAAATTACTTCTAAAGATACCGATAATGCACCTAGTACTTCACAAATTAATCACCCTAAGTTAATGACTTATATGGCCACATTTGTGAGCATAACTAGAAAATTCAAATTCATGTTATACAGATGAGAATTTTTGTTCTTTTTATTTTATTTCAACAATGCTACAAGCATGTATTGTGCTACGATTTTCATTAATAATATCCGATATAGTTTTTAAATGCTTTATCTTATATGTGTATTAGCTAGAAGGTCTCTAAATAATAAATTTAACATCTTTGAAGCATTGATGAAAAAATTACAACGTTCAAATTCAGTGTTTGTTGAACTTTTGTTCTTTATTTTATTTCAACAATGTTACAACCCTCTACTCTGCTCTGATTTCCATTAATTAACATTTGATACAATTGTGATAATGTTTTAACTTTGATACAATGTTTGGTTCCCTTTGGACCGTTTCACCTAATTTTTACTTTTTTTTTTTTTAATTTATTATTGAAAGTGCCTATTTTTTTCTTATGAGAACTTTGAATTTCTTGTTACTGCATTTATGCATGATTCTATTCAATTTTTACAATGATTGGATTGGCCTACCAATAAAGTCTGAAAGCGTCATTTTCTATGATTCTGATATTTATATAATTTTTTATTGTAAAATTTTAAGGAAAACATGTGGGAAAAAAATTCCTTTGCTTAGAAATGAGTACCTTTGCTCTAATATTTAACAGATTTTGCTGAAATAATTGTACAAAGACCCTTGCTTTTCTCCAAAGAAAAAAGAATAATAATTATCGCTACATTTTAGAAAATTTTTTGAAATAAAAAGCATCAAACAAAATAAACAGAGTGGCTGGTGGGAATCAATTGAGCAACTCAATGCAGATGAAGTGACAAAATATGAAGTGTGGTTAAGTATTCTTACTTTTAATATGAAAAATCGTTTGAATTAATTGGAAATTGGAGCTTCATCCTCATCATCAAGTTTCTTCTAAAGATTCAGATATACATCTAGTAATTGGAAAATGAACCATCCTAAGTTAATAACTAATGGCAGCATTGGTGAACAAAACTAGAAAGTTCAAATTCATATTGTCCCGATGTTAATTTTTTGTTCTTTTAATCTATTTCAACAATGCTACAAGCATGTACTATGCTATAATTTTCATTAATAATATCTAATACAATTTTTAAACGCGTTACCTTATATGTGCATTAGCTAGTAGGTCTCCTAATAATAAATTCAACTTCTCTTAAACATTGGTGAGAAAATTAGAAAATTCAAATTCAATTTTTTAAGTTCTTATTTTTTATTTTATTTCAGCGATGCTACAACCCTGTACTATGCTATGATTTCCATTAATTAACATTTGATACATGTGTTATTATAATTATAACTTTGTTTCCTTGTGTAGATTGTTCAAATTGGTAATAATTATGGGAGTTTTATTTGACTCAATATTTGGCTCCTTAATTAGTTACACCTAATCTTTACTTTTTTTTTTCTGAAGACAACTAATTTTTTCTTATGAGAAATTTGAACATCTTATCACTGCATTTGTGCATGATTCTTTTTTATCTTTATAATGGTTATTTGGAATATGTCCGTTGTGTCATTTATAATTTGTGGTGCAAAGTTTGAAGTCAATTGAAATTGGTTTGGTACGAATCGACATTAATTTTGGAAGTTTGATGTTCATGATTTCATAGGTTTGAATTAGGTTGCGATTCATAGAATTGATGCTTTTATGTGATTTTAGGCCTCGAGTAGGTTTTTATGTGTTTTGGAACTTGATGGTATGCTTGGATGGGGTCCCAAGGGCCCATGATGTGATTCAGATTGAATCTCGAACCATTTGAGACTTGGTAGGAAATCTATCAAGCTGAAGAACTGGAGCAATCACACCTGCGAATTTTGGGCCATAGGTGCAGCACCGTAGATGCGATCTATGAGCCGCAGAAGCAATTTCGGGCAATGTGGGTTGTGACCGCAATTGCGATCCTTCCTCCGCAAAAGCGGGCTCGCAGGAGTGGCCATAGTCTACATAAGCGGTTTGTGACCGCAGAAGCGGAAGGTCCTAGTTTAAGTGAAATCACACATGTGATGGAATTTTCGCAGGTACAGAGCAGCAGATGCTGCTATTGGTCCACAAAAGCGGAACCATTAGGCAGGAAAGGGGCAGATCGAGGTTTTTTTTTTCTTCATTTTTCATCTTTTGAGTTAGAGACCTCGGTTTTGGGCAATTTTGAGAGAGATTTTCAAGGAGTTAATTGGGATAAATGATTTTGACTCGGATTTGATTATTATACATGAATCCATCATTATTTTTACCATTTAATTAGTATTTTGAGTTGGAAAAATTGTGAAAACTTTCTAAGCTATATTTTGAGGATTTGAAGGTCGATTTGAGTTCGGAATTGAATAATTTTAGTATGGTTGGACTCGTTATTGAATGAGTATTCAGATTTTATAAGTTTGGTCGGGTTCTGAGATGCGATCCAGAGGTTGACTCTTTGAGTTGACTATTTAATTTTCTTTAAAGATTGCAACTTTATTATAATAGTTTTTCATGGTTTGTATTTATGGTATAAAGTTATTTTGGCTAGATTAGAGCCGTTCGGAGTTGGATATTCACAAAAAAGACTTACTAGTGGATTGAGGTAGCTTGTTTGAAGTAAGTATCTTGTCTAACTTTGTGTGTGGTAATTACTCCATAGGATTGGAGTTGTTTGTGTTAATTGTGGTACGTGAAAGCCATGTACGCAGGGTGACGAGTGGGGTACATGGGTTATGTGTGGTAATTGACTAATTTAGGCTCTTTAAATTCTATTCATGCCTTTAATCGTATTGTCATAACATGTTATATCTTTCATCATTAAATTATCTTTACATGCTTTATTGGACATGGTTAAATGCTTGTCCCATATTTTACTTGTCAATTGTCCTTACATGCTTAGTTGAAGTTTTTGTTTCCTTATTGCCTTGTTAACCTTACTCGAAGTTGTTATTTCTTGGAATATCTTCATGTTGAGCGTTGGCGCTGAATTTGTAAAATCCATTATCATATTGAGGCAAAATTGTTAATTGTTGAAATAACATTCTTGTTGAGCTATTAAAATTTCAGTGTGCTATTATTGAGACTCTTGTACACATTGTGATTGAGCCATGAGCTGTTTGTTGTGGAAACATTGATATTATTGATTCTTTAGGCAAGTTGTGGTATTTGGGCACTTGAGGTGCGAGTTATAATATGTTGTGATATTGATACACATATGATGGTATAAGGATAAGGGTTGATACACATGCGGTGAGGTAAGGTGGGCTTGATACACGTGTTAAGTACGGGAACTACTTGAAGTCACGCGGTGTAATAAGGTGGGCTAAAATGTGGATAGCTATTTCGAAAAAATGGTTTTCAACTACTTGTAAGTCTCCCGTGGTGATATAAGGAAAGATTGTGATTGTGATTGTGATTGTGAAATGAGATACGAGGCGGTTCCTCCCTTGATGCCTTTATTGCCTTAAATTCAGTGTAGCTTATCTTGCTGTATTTCTTTATTGTATCATTTTTTTGTTCCCATTATTATACTATACCATTACATATTCATCTTCTTTTATTATCCTAGTATGTGTCTCCACCTGACCTCGTCACTACTCTACCGAGGATAGTTTTGATACTTGTTGGGTATTGTTGAGGTGTACTCATACTACACTTTTACATATCCTTTTGTGCAGATCCAGGTACCTCATACCAAGTTAGGCACTAGTGAGTTGAGCTTTCGGATCGGTGACTGATCGGGTCCAACCCTGCACCACTACAGAGTGGCAAGAGCGGTCGATGCATCTTTTACCCGAGAAGGTCGGGATCTAACCCACATGGAGCTAAGATAATGTTTGGAGTTGGATTCCTATCTAATCTATCAATGTGTAGTGTTCTTGATTGCACTTCCAATCATTCTTGTTTGTTTGTTACTTCTAATTTAATAGTAAAGATGCACGAAACTAAGCTAAGTGATATTTTTGTAGGATTTTCTAAATGGGTAAAGAGGCACTAGGGAAGTGACTTACTCCTATGTGAGTATCTAACGTGATCTAAAACTTAGGGCAATAATATTATGGTTGGGATCATGATATAGCCAATGCACGAAGCTACTCACTCTATACCTCTCGGTAGTTTGAGTGACTTTGCCCTAATTAGCTTTCTCAATCCCAATTGGGTGTTCAATTTGTGTAAGCAATGTTGGCTCAAGTCGGGTATTACTATGTCTAGGTTTAACCCTTTAATTGAGGCTATCAATCTCTTGAATACACCCCAATTCCTTATTGGCCTGAAATTCCTAGACTTAGTCTCTCTTTCTCAAGAAGAGCCTAAGTCAAAAAGACATAAATTAGTGTTTGCAACCACTAATTCAATATAGAAAGCATAAATCAGGCCAAATATCAATCACCCATAAATATCTAATCCCTAAAATAAGAGACCATTAAATACCCATACTAGGGTTGATCCACAACCGTAGCTAATTGGTTTAGCTACTCATAATTGAAGAGGAAATCATAGATTGACATGGAGAATAACCCATAAAATATAATTACAAGATAAGATTTTAAGATTAATTGCTAAACAAGCTACAAAATTACTCAAAATAGGTAAAACATGGCGTTCACGTGCACAATTGAGACAAGATGACCTAAAAATCTGAAAAAGAAATATTTAAACACAGCTAAATTGTTACGCCTCGCAGTATTACGTCGATGTTATGCTCTGCAGTAATATATTACGATGATGTTACCCTCTGCAGTAATATATTACGAGGATGTTACGTCCAGCAGCATTACATTACGATGATGTTAGGCCTTGCAGTAATAAGTTACGACAGTATTGCACCCTATAGTATTTTACGTTGAATTTGTCGTAAGGTAATTGACATCAGTCCAAGGAAAAGATTATTTGGAGATTATAAGGATTATGCTATTTCAAACAAGTGATGAATAAATTCGTGAAGATGAAAGGGGAAGCAAGTCAAAGAAAATGAATTTTCATCAAAGTTTGGCATTTTTGGGTAAAATACGGCCCGAGCTAAAATATCCAGTATTTATGGAGTAGTGCCATACAAGGTACTACATGATCATGGTAGTAAGGTGTGTTAAAAGTGAGTAGTATTTTAAGTAATTTGTAGTAATTTTTAAATTATATGGGTAATGGATTAATTACCGGGTAACAAAATATTACCCGGTAATAAAAAAAAATAATCCCTTATAAAATAATCCCTTATTAACTAATAAGTGGATAAAAAAAATTTAATAAAATAATCCCTTTCCAAACGTGGCAAGAAGCCACAAACCTAGACAATGACTCTTTAAGTCTACTATCCTAGGTGGCTATCTATGAGATATCTAACTTATACAACTACATGAAATGTTATCCTAATTCATTGTGGGGAAAGGGCAAAACGTTAGCACATTTCAAATCAGCAAAACAAAGCCTTAACTTTCTTAGTTTGAAAGGTTATGAGCTAAGGAAGGCTTGGTATGATTTATTTGTAAAAAGAAGATCTGAACCAACAATCTGTTTGTGGGGTTGAAGCTAAAAACGTAAGAACAAGAAACCTTTCGTCCAAACATTTTAAAACCAAGCCAAGTTCGTTCCAAAATTCAAGGATATCCAGTGTAAATTTCGCAGAAGCAGATTCGTTTAAATAATTCAAGAAACAAGTATGTTAAGGCTATCCCTTCTTCCTTTTGGCATGATCCATACGATACGAACGAAACGTGTAATTGCACAAATTCCATATATGACCCTATTCATAAAAGTATTAGAAGTGCCTATGTTCTTGAATTTCCATATGTCTTATTATTCCATCGTTTGTTCATGGGTCTCGGAAGATACGTAAAATGATTTTATGATATTAATCAGAGGTATAATGGTCTTATGACGTACCGAGAGATTTTGTTATCGTATTTCATATGCATTTCATGCATTTATACATGTACATTGACCCATGACTCAGACGACGTTATATACGCGTATATATGTATATATATGTATATGGGATATGGGAAAAGGTTACGACGTTATATGTGCACCACCACCTGATCAGCTGGTATATGATGATGATGTTGCCCACAGTGGCTGAAATATGATTCAAACGGCGTTATATACGTGTATATATGTATGTATTCAAATGGCGTTATATACGCATATATATGTATGTATTCAAACGGCGTTAAATACGCGTATATATGTATGTATATATATGTACATGGGATATGGGAAAGGTTATGACGTTATATATGCACCACCACTTGATCAGTTGGTATACGATGATGATTTTGCCCACAGTGGCCGATATGATATAATGGAATGCCCTCAGAGTCTGATGATGTTATGAAACATGTAACTATGCATGACATGACATTCATACGCATATGCATGATGCTAAAATTAATTTATGATTTACAAAGTTATTCAGACTTGCAGGTTGAGTCATATACTCTATATTTCTTCTATGTCTCTGATGTACTTACTTATGTGCCTTACATACTCGGTATATTATTCGTACTGACGTCCCTTTTTCTTGGGGACACTGCGTTTCATGCCCGCAGGTCCTGATAGATAGGTCGAGAGCCCTCTAAGTAGGTTATCATCTCAGCGGAAGATATTGGTGCGCTCCATTTGCTTCGGAGTTGCTTGTTTGGTTAGTATGATTTAGACGTGTATTGTTTGGTATACCGGGACTCTATCCCGACCTCTATGATATTTATGTATTCTTAGAGGCTTGTAGACATATGTCGTATACGTGAAAGATTATACGGCCTTGTCGACCCATGTTTGAGTTTATAAATGATTATATTGGCCTACTAGGCCCGTATGTCACGTGTATATAATGATGTAATAAGAAAGATATGCTACGTTGGTACTTGGTTGAGTAAGGTACCGGGTGCCCGTTGCGGCCCATCGGTTTGGGTAGTGACAAAAGTGGTATCAGAGCAGTTCTGTCCTAGGGAGTCTACAAGCCGTGTCTAGTAGAGTTTTGTTTATGGGTGTGTCATGCACCACACTTATAAGAAGGAGGCTACAGGCATTTAGGATTGTCACTCTTTTTTTCTTACTCTAGATCGTGTGGTAGAGCTCACTTATAAGAATCCTAATTCCGATTTTTTTTATTA